AATCTACAATATATTGGAGAGACTAAACGTCGCCTCAAAGACCGTTTCAATGAACACAGACGATCTATACTCAACCCTCTGGTAATTACATCCATACTGCAGTTTCAGAACACTTACTAACCAGTAATCATTCCGACAATCATATGCTTTTGATTCCTATTGAAAAACTTAAAAATGGGCGTGTTTCTTTCAAGAAAGCACGTGAAGCCCACCTTATCCATAAAGCTAAGACAATTGAGCCTCTGAGCATTAATAAACGTGATGAACTGTAACTATATATAGTATATCTTTTATTTTTCTGTTATCTTGTCTTTTAAAGTAGCCATCATACCACGTCATATTATGTAATTTCCGGTCATAATTTTACTTCATATATATTTCTGTGAATTCGTGATATCTCAATAAAGCTAATGAAGACTGGTATTGGCCACTCGAAATATCGCAACTAAACTCTATTTCACTTTGTTTGATCAGTCGCTGCTAAAGTCTTCTTGAGTCAGACTCGTACCCAGACGCTATTTAAGTGTTTTTTGGGATGAGAGAAGATTAGGGATTAGGTTGAGGCGCGCGCGGGGTCTCATGGGAAAGGAAGAAGGAAAAATACTGTTCTTGACTGTAACGTTTTCAATTTGTAGGGAAATGTTAAACGCGATTTAAGAACGTAAACGCTGCAATAGATTTGTAATAATTCCGTGACGGAATACAAGTTCCATTCCAAGAATTAATTGGGGATCATTTCGGGGTCGACGTGAAGAGGAATGGGGATCATTTCGGGGTCGATTTGGGGATCATTTCGGGGGCTGTACAGTACTCATGACAGAAAGCGAGAGGCGAGGTTTTAGTCCTACCGACATAAGAGAGGGTTTTTATTGTTTTTTGTTTTTCGAACATGGGAGTAGCGAGGGGGATGAAAGAAATAAAGTTGTCATGTTGTAAAGGCCACTTTGATTTTTTTACCACAGTGGCAAATGATAAAGCAGGACACCCACCCGTCCCTTTTGATATCACTCCCTTCTCTTTCACACCCACAATGACATCTAGAACTCACAAACGGGACGAGGCTCTATTCGCCATTTGCACATCTCCCTTAATACACCTTGTTTGCCCGCCAAACATTTTGTATACGCATTGACTTCAATTTTTCTTGAGGTGACTGTAATAACCAGTGAATGCTGGTGAATGCTGTTTTCGAAAAGCGGAGTCTTTATTTACGCTTTTAAAAATAGACTGCATTCGTATTGTTGATAGGTGACTGCAACAAGCATGCAACAGAGCCTAATGCGTTGTAATTAGATGCATGAGCCTCGATTGTAAGCCAGTTCCAGTCAATTAAAACCCAACCTCTCAGCATCACTGGCTCATGGCTGAGAGCATCTGAGCTGAAACAAAGATTTTTTGCGCACACCTAGCAGGATGTCATTCCTTGTCCCGGATTGATGGTTCAACCGTGTTTGAACCCGAGTCTTCCGATTAATAATCACGTGCCCCACAACTGTTCTGTAAGAGTAGCGCGCGTTTCTCGTTCCGTCCTCCCCTTTCCCTCTTCACCCCTATTGAGACGGATAATCCATCTTCAAAATCTGTCAATAATTGACGGATAACAAGATGGACAGTCAGGGGGATTGTTCATCTAAAATTAAAACCGTTCCATTTTCAAATTAAGAGGTATTATCTGTATGACGCGAATTATCCGATGGATAACCCTTCACAGACTTGTAATCCGTCTCTAGTGTGAGAACGGCCAATGACTGTGCTCTTAACAGGACTTTCGTGAGGATTTGTTCGTGAATACTTTAAAGGTACTTCAGGGTGTTAACGAACATTAAATGAACAACGACCCCAAAAAGACATATTGAGGAAAAACCAAGATACATGTAGGCACAATAAAACTCACACCGTAAATACAGCACTTCCCTATTCTAACCACCAAGAAATCCGGGCTGATACAGAAGGTGAAGGGGAGACCCCCCACCCCCCCCCCCCCCCCCCCCCCTTCCGCGCCACAAAAACAACTCTCCTCCCCCCCTCACAAAAAAAAGAAACACACAACAACCCACACCCCAAAACCACCCATATTTACTCCATTTTCCCTCAAACACACACCCACTCTTTTTAGTCGCGGCTAATCCCCCCACCCCCCCCCCCCGACGCATGTTCCTGGACTACAAACTAGTTCCTGATCGCCTCTGAAAATAAGAATGTAACCTGAATTAGGCCTAGTCCAAACGTCTACCTTTACGTCTAACTTTACATGAGACGAACCAGTCTCTAATTTGGGTCGAGCTAAAATAAGTTAAGATCGAAAGAACAGAACAGATCAAAACGAAATTTAACAACTTTTCTCCCAAACGAGGCTAAATATACATTACCATATAACTTTTTCATTTATTAGTTTAGCTTCCGTGTGAACGTCGACGGATCTCCCGGAGAGGATCTTCACACGTTCTATCCGTCTAAACCAGACGGATACAACGTGTTGGACAATCCAAGTTCATTCAGACAAACTTAACTGAACCAGACGTCGAACTTTTCATGAACTTAACTCGCTAAGTTTGTTTCGTCTCAGGAAAAGTTCGACGTTTAGCCTAGGCCTTACAAAAAAGAATTTAATACTAGGCATTTTTACTTTACAAAACTTTATTTCGTTGAGTTTAAAATGAAACTACATTATTCTAAAAAACAAAGGTACTTTGCAATGTTCTGTCTTGCTTGATGGTAATAAATGTACATTGCTGATTCACATATAAAGATACAGTCGATTCACAGCAGAATCACTCTTGGCTGAACGCCAACTAAACTAAATCATGATATAAAACAGTTTAAATCTTTTAATATAAACTAAATCATAATTTCTTTCTGTATATTTGTCACTATCATACAAACTCTATTGAAATATAGGAAAACTATACCAATAGTTAGCTTCAATATTTAACAATCCCTAAAACTACAAGGAACTCATGCTGTATCAACCTTGACCACACTGGATCAGAGGGCGCGCAAGTGACAATCATCAGTTACAATATTTATCAAACTCTAAAACTACTAGTAACAACTAGTAACTCGTGTTGCATTAACCTTGATCACACTGGACCAGATGGCGTACAAGTCACAAAAATCAGTTACAATATTTATCAAACTCTAACACTGGACCAGAAGGGCGTACAACTCCACTTGAGTGTCAATGTATTTATCACGAAAGTACTAATTGTGGACACTATTTTTACGTCTCCTGCTGGAGACGGGACCGCCATTTTACGTGGTCATCCGAGCAACGCGAAGGTTCAGCCGCTTGAAGTACAAAGAGATTACCGACTGAGCTAATCCCGCCTGTTCAGTCTGAGACTCAAAACAATGTGAAATTTTTAAATATGTACACAGAAATACTCCTTTACAGCACTGACGAGAGTCAGCCGCTTGATGTCCTCCAATGAAACACTACACTGTAGTTTTATCTCATCCCTTTAGGCTGCGGTTCATATGAAGAAAAGTTGTCCCGAAAAAGAGGGTCACGCTCCAGCTGAGTCAACGGAAAAAATAGTTGACCCCTTTGTACGAGCCAACTGTACTCGCACATGCTCAGATTGTCTCGCCTTAACTAAGTTGACCCAGCTGGGCGAGTCAAAGTGTTTGTAAGGAGAAACGTTGGATCAGCGAGGAGGGTGACTCTACCTTCACAAAAGGATGAACCGGCGGCTAGGCGAGTCACCCTTCTAGCCAAGCCAACTTTTTTTCACATTTACAAGGTTCGCCTCGTTTTTTAACCCTTTAAACCATAAGATCAACATTTGAACTCTCATTTGTTGCCCCTAGTCATTTCCCAGAGACGCAGTGGGGAGAAGTTGATAAAATATCAAGCAAATTCATCTTGTGTGATCATGTCCGTAATTCTCATGTCCACTCTGTTTTAAAAAGCCCTTGATATTACAAGGAGAAATTAGATGCTGATCACTATAAGGGCTTAAAGGGTCAAGAGAACGTGGGTAGCTCGGGTAGGCGGCAGATTAACCCTTCTACCCGGTACAACTTTTCTCCATATAAATGGACCTAAAAAAGCTGAAACAGATTCAAGAGGAATGGGATTGTGTTACATCGTGCAACCAGGTAAGTTAAATTCACCATGGGAGACATTACAAGACTGAGCAACAAAGTGCAATCTTCAAAGTGAGTCATGTTCAAACTACGCTGTATAAAACTTGCACCGGCGGTTTTTGTAAACGATTTTTTTAATGCGTGCGTCCGAATCGGCCTTCGAAAGCTAAATCTCAAAGCGATTTGTTTTTAACTAATTTGACCTGTTCCAGTCTTTCGAAAGTCAAAGCGCTAAAAACGAGGTTTTGCCATTTTCAACTGCACGCGAGACACCCACGAAGGTATCTGGTAACCTTAACGCTGTACAGAGTAGTGTGAACATAACGGACTTCAGGCTGGGCTTCCATAAGACAAAAATAGCCTACATTAATTACACGTGAGACACCCCTAAAGGTATCTGGTAACCTTAGCGCTATACAGAGTAGTGTGAACGTAACGGACTTCAGGTTGAGCTTCCACAAGAAAATATCCCGGTATCAAAGGAAACGTGAGTGATGTGACTTGAAACAGAATGATTTTCTGTGACCTTTAAATAATCACGCGTGGCCGTAATTTAAGGCAGCAATTAGATTAATTTAACTGGATTTGTGGATAACCATTTAATGAATGATATAGCAATCGGAGAACTATATTGAAACTAAAATGGTTACGAAACATTTCAGCGGGACCGAAGGAAAGTCGTTTTAATTTGCAAACAGAGAAAATATAAAATGTCCAAACTTGAAACAACATTTGTAGATTGACCATTTTGCATTATTAATTAGAATCTTTATTTTTAAGGGTCGGTTGTCACGGTGACTTCAAGATTAACGAAAATAATAATAAAAAATTAAACCACATTTCATTTGATACTGACATATGTTCCTGCGGACTGGAAAGCACATAAATCTCAGCTGTATTCTTCTAAGGAATTAAACCTTCTGACACCCACTCTCTTTTCCATAGAAACTTACATCGAGTTCAAGTAAGGATAATGATCTGATTTCTAATAAAAGTTTGCTTAAGTCATATAAATGACTTTTACCTGTAGCACAATGGTTGTTGACTTTTAATCTCAGAGTAGTTAATGAGGTGTTAGCCATCAAGATGACGGAAAGGCCTGTTAACCAGTCATCACTCACTTCTTTGCTACTGTTGAGTGTCAGATTGAATGTGGTAACTGATGTGTTATTTGCCAAGCCTTCCAACACTCCAAAGGCGCCAAGAAACTGGGGTATAAACGATTCTCCATCACCACACTCATTTATTGTGATATTTAACGTAGTTATTGACGTGTTCACTGACAGTCCGTGATCGAAACTGCTCAGCCGAATAATATTACCTGTTTTATCTGCTGCCACAGTTACTGTTAGTGTCAGTGTAGTTATTGACGAGTTTAATGACAGACCTCGATCAAGATCAAAGAACAACCTGGAAAAATACCTATCAGTGGAGTTGTTAATAAAAATTGCGACACATAATGTATTTAATGAGCTTGTTGTCACCAAGCCCATATAAAGGCCATTAAAAACGTAATAAAAGTCTGATTCACCCCCGTTCAATGTGAGACTAAGTTTCTTAAGTGACGTGCATTTTATCAAACAGTCACCTACAACCTTATCCCAAAAAGAATACATGCTATCACTATGGATTGCAACAGAAAGGGTAGATAATGATTTGATTGCCGCTAGCACGTTACTCAGTTTAGACGGACTCGAACAATTCTCCTGATTCTCCTTAACATAGTCAAGGCTGCTGAGTGTAGGACTCAACCAATCCTTCTGATTCCACTTACCGTCGCCGTTTATTTCAAGACTGAGTGTAGTTAAAGATGCCATTTTGATCAAACGCTCACCCAGTTTGCATTCCCATCCTTCTTTCATGTTACTGAAGTTGAATGTGAGACTAAGAGATGTTAAAGAACTGCTTTGCAATAAACTGTTCCCGAGGTTTTCTCCCAAATCTGCATCCACGACGCAGCTGTTGACTGTAAGATCAAGCGTGGTCAGAGATGGATTTTCTGCCAAAGCATCACCTAGATAACGTGTCCACTCCTTGGTAACATTACTATCGTTATTGATTGTAAGACGGACGTTTTGTTTTCTTCTCTCCTTGACGTTAGTAAAAAAGACTGTCAATGCCGCAGGAATATCGGTAGTGGTAACAAGAACATCGTTCGACTCATCTGGGCCTGTACGCACATCATGTACATTTAACTGAACGCGACTGTTTTTTGAAAGGCTGGAAGGAACATTACCTCCGTCTGTTATCAACTCGCCCCATATATTGATGGACAGGGAAGATAGCGTCTTGTTTTCTTCCAGACATCTTGCAATGGAATTAGAAACTTCACTTGTCAAATTTCCACGCATGTTTAAGGTGAGAACAGTAATGGAGGAAGGTGCCAAGACTTCACAAAGAGCTTCTGCCGCTTCGCATTTCATCTCACCCCAGTCGTTAACAGTTAAGTGTTGCTTTACATTTAACCCTTTCCTAACCAGAACAGGACGAAAATTATTATTTGCTACGTTGTTAAAGGTATTTGGATAAAAAGAACAGCAAACTGGGGACTTTTTCGCCACGCGAACATTTTCCACAACAGAATACCAGTTACCAGGGAGCTCACCGTGGACACGCAGTCTTAAATAATTTAAAGAACTATTTTCCATAAGGCCTTTTTCCAGGAAACTGGCACTAGAGGAACTCAGCGGTCCATCAAGATGTAGATCCAGAGATTTTAAAACTGTTTGTCTTGCAAGTGCTTGACTGACAGCAGCGACTAACAAATCCAGCACACATCCAACAGTACAAAGAGAAAGAGAATTGAAGGATTTATTTGACAAAAAATGTTGTAAGCCTCGTGTCGCAGTGTACTTCATTGAGCCCCATAGCACGAGATTAACAGACGTCAGCGTTGTCAATCCAGTTTCGAACGCATTGAAGAAACTCTCGTTATAAGCATATCCAGGCAAAGCAAACGTTACTTTTGTCAGAGTTCGACATGAAGCCAACCCACGGCCAATTTGAACCAGCAGCTCATATTTTTCAAGATATACATGAGATACGTATTTAAGAGTAAACTCTGATAAGCTCTTGCTTGCAGAAAACCATTTGCAAAGACGATCTGCATCAGATGACGTCAAAGATCCCAGAGCATGAACACGAAAACTTACGATTGTCAGCTGCGGGCAGGATTCTATACAATTTACTACGTCACTTGCTCCTCTCTCCCGGTCACCTACATGTATATCAGTATAGGGTTCAAAAGGTGTCCTTAAATTTGAAAAGCTTGTCAGCTGCGGGCAGGATTCTATATAAGTTACTATGTCACTTGCTCCTCTCTCCGGGCCTCTTCTGCCCCAACCAATATCAGCATAGAGTTCAACAGGTGTCTGTAAATTTGAAAAGCTTCTGCAAGCCTTTAAGACCTGAATAAAAGACGCATTGTAATTGTCTATTAGCTTGGAAGTGATAACCTTTGGAAAAGGTATAATGTTACAAAGAGTAACTGCCATTTGTGCTGCATGTCCACTCTCATCAAAGCTTTGAATAAAGAAAGTAGCAATCTTCTCATTGCAACGCTCGTTCCAATTCCAGTCATAGAACTTCCTTGACTCCTCTCCAATCTGGGTGAACAGAACTGTAGCTTTCTCGCCCAGCATACCAGAAACAAAAATGAACACTTGTGGATATTTCGTTACAATGTCATCAAAGCTTATGTTGAGGTGCTTAAATACATTAAACTTTTGGTTTCGTAGCTTCTGAGCAATATACGCGGCAGCCACGTACTCTTGGAAGGTCTTGTGAAGAAAGCAGTACTCATGTTGAGGCTTAAGTCTCTTTAGACTTTCTTCCTTGTAAAGAAGTCCTAGCTCACGAGCTACCAATCCGGGGTATTTCCTTTCAAACTCATCCATTTCAGTTTCACGGAAACCATAACGATCACTCAGCAGGCATAACCAAGCAAGCTCTCCGAGTGCAAGAATTTCCTTTTCAAACATTTTCTCTAGGACACTGTCATCTTCAGGGGCGGACCAGTTACGTTTGGCGCAGTATCGTCTCAAAAGACATCGCACAATGACTTGGTAAAGTTCCGTCCGGGAAGTCGGCAATTTTCCCTCGTAGTCCTCATAAACAACACAAAGGAGAAGTAAATTTAGTGGGTTATTTCGGAGTGCATTCAAGAAGGTGTTCTGTTGCATTTCCTCAATGAGCCTCTCCCCCTTTGGTGACTGACCAATGGTTTCAAAGTGTCTTCTGACATACGCAATAGAATCACTTTCCGTGTACCCTTTGATTTCTAAATGAATGTCAAAGACAAAGGTTTTTCGTGCTTCAATTCCTCTTTCTTGTCGTGTCGTAGCCAAGACATAGCAAAATGGGAAAATTCGTCTGTGAAGTAGCTCATCTACATGGTGCCGTGATTTTTCAGGCAGCTCATCCAAACCATCCAAAATCATCAAAATTCTCTCCTGGTTATGAATATCCTTCAAGAAGTGCAACAATTTCTCTACAATCTTCTCCTCAATATCTCTGGGCAGAAGTTGTTCTCTTATGGTGTCCATTATATTTCCATCAATGTCTCGACATTTGAGGAGCAACACAACTTGAAACTTGGGAAAAGAACACTCTGTTGGGATTTTTCCATGTGTACAGTCATACGCAAGTTTAAGGCAAAACGTTGTTTTACCGATTCCTGGACTTCCTTCGACAAGCGCCATGACATCCTTACCCTTTTCAAGGGTCTTGAAGATTTCAGTCACGTTCACCTCGTCATTTCCACTCACTAAGTCTGGTTTTTGTCCCTCTACTAGCCTCATGACATCCTCAACTTGATCAGGAGCTTTGAAGAAATCCAACACATTAAACTCATTATTCACGTCCACCCTCAAGTCTGGACTTCCCTGTGCTAGCGTTAGGACATCCGCACCTTTTTCTGGGGCTATGACGTGGAACATATTCGCCTTCGCCTTGGCTTCCATCTGGGTGGCCAACTTTCGTCTTGAAACGATTTTCAGTCTCGTGTAAACGTTCTCTAGGGGTAACTCGATAGTGCTATTCCAAAGAAGTGGTCTTAACAGACAGCGCCTTTTGTATTCAGCTTTGAGCAGTTCAACAACAACCGAGTTGTTCCAACCTGCTGGAAACAAAAAGGTGAGGGAATATTTGTCAATAAACGCAAACCTAAAGACTTGACATTCTAAACGGATTAATCTTACTGTGACATGCTTTCCTCTCCTCAGTAAGCAGAAAGACCGTTTATTCTCCTTATTTTGCATACAGATAAGGATGTTACTGTCTATTCAAGTAAACGTTTTCGATGACATAAATTAAAATACCTTCAGTGGCAGAATAAGCTTCACCGAGGCAATGTTAACATTTAGCGAAAAAGAAAATGCTATCAACGCTTACATTTTTATGAAAACTGTGTGCCATACACTCTCCGTAAAAACATTTCACTTTTAAGGTTCATTTCTTAAAAGATTAATGGACAAATCACTCGCGTTCCAAAACAGAACTGAGATCACTCTCAATTTCCTGACAAGTGATTGGTTTATTCATTACACCGCAAATACAAAGAGTAAGGAAGGTGGTTCGATTTTCAGCAGCCTAGCCTCCCACGCAGACTTTCCTAGGGCGTCACGAACCCCTTAGAAGGTCTGCGTAGGAGGCTGATCTGACTGACAAGAGGCTACCGCTAAATAGTTAGTTTCTTACACTGTAAGCATATCGTGTTACGAAGTACGCTAGAAGTTTGGAGAGTGTGTCAGACGTGAGAATCTCAAGATTTTCTTTAAGTGTAACCGAGGCTACGAAACTATAGCTTCATCAGGATTTCCAACTAGAAAGGGGGACTTAAATAATAAAGCCACTGCCCTGTGCAGCAGAGGAAAGTAACTCAGACAAACGCTTTATTTCACGGGAAGTACTGTCACACTCTTATTTCGTAAGCTATACAACTTGTGAAGCCGCATTTTACAGACACGAGACCGATGACACAAGACCATCCTAAACTCTCTCATACACACGTAATGCGACACCAACCCTTACTCTAAATAATCCAGAAACGAACTTTACCTTCCTCTTTCAACAGTTTCGGTTGTTTTGGAGCGGAAACAGCACATGCAGACAACGGCCTTTTGCCTTTTCTCGAAGACCTGGATCTCTTTGCTGTCTTTGCTGCGCCGGCGCCTACAATTAAATCAATTACCAACATTAAAGGGATTACGTCACGAGTATATACCTAAGTTATTGCTACTTAATTTCGCGGTTTTCGCGATTGTGGAAAGATCACGAAATTAAAGACCCGCGAATAAAAATCCCCGCGAGATTTAAACAAGCGAAATTTAATACCCATACAGAAAATTGAAATCACAGAAAGAAAAAATTAATTAAACAATTACAATATATACTCAAACACCGACAAATTATAAGCTGGTTAACTGGTAAGTTCCATTCCTTGACTGTGCCTTCTGTTGTAAATTAAAATAACGTTAATATGCGTTTTTCTTGTTTCATTTTATCTCGATATTTTAAAAAATTCAGACGTTTGAAAAATAAAATCAGGTTGAGAACGCTCTAATCGCAAAATCTAATGCCTTTTTTTATAATTGCCTAGCGAAATCGCGAAAATAAAACCCCGCGAAATATTGTCTTGCCAAAATCGCGAAATTAACTACTACTAAGGTAGCTCTCTTTTAGCTCAATTCTGTGCTGAAGTCATTACTGAAAAAAAATACTCCTGTAGTGTTATGAAGAAGATCAAACAATCTTCATCAAAGAGCACTAACCATAATAATATATATACTTTTTATTTCTGAAGGCATAGCATTAAAACGTGTGAAAAAGTTGGCCCAATTTTTTCAAGTTTCAATCACCATCCGTAGCAACAACTTTTGTCCTGTTAACTGTGCCGAAGATATTTTGGCAATTTATAAAAGATTATTACACAAAAGAGTATTCTTAAATCCACCTTTAGGCTAGTAATTAGAAAAATTAAGCAAATAGACTAGACTGCCGTGACACAGGCCCTTTACAAGGCAGGGATAGAGCTCGCCTTTGAAGGTGTGAACAAATATTTCACCTCTCTTTAAAAACAGCATCCTTTAGTGGAGGTGGGTCCCTGGTTTGTCCAGGAGCTTCCAATTTTGGCAAAGCCAACCCCTGGTTAGCCTGTTCCAGGCGTTCAGATAGTAGAACGCGGTCGAAAAATTGACGAGGTAAAAATAAACGGGAGAGACTAGAGTGGGTAAAGGGAGTGAACTCGCCTCACTCTCCCCTCGTTTTTTCCCCTCCTTTCCTCCGTGTACGATTTAACTCGCTCCCCACTATCCGAACACCACACTCTACTAACTGACCGCCTGGAACAGGTTATCCCCTGGTAAACCCGCGCCTTCCAGCCATGAGCCCCAACTCTAATGGAACCAGGCACCTGACACACTGATTTATCAGAAAAAAAATAAAGGGAGCGGGGGAGGGATGGGGGTTAAAGAATGATCCAAAGGGAAACGAAAAGACAGACCGCCAGGAAACGCTGTACGAAGCACATGGAGATGATGCAAGCAAGGCTGACCGCGCTTGAGCCACCGCACTGACCACTGACCGACAACACGTTACCGCTCTCCTTGTTGTTAACTGCGTTAAATTTCATTTAACTTCATTATAAAACCTGAAGCGAATCTTTTTTGTCGACAACTGGCAAAGGTAATCTGTGATAATCATCACAAATTTTGATTCTTTTTAAACGAGTCTTGTTCAGTGCTTTCAGCATTCCTTGTTACTGTACAGTGTACCATCCCGGCAAGGAATACTCAACATGCTCTCGTTAGAGTACAGTACATTTTCTACAAGAAAAACAACAATTTCCTCTTGAATATACAGTTGTACATGTAATATTGTTCAGCTACGATTCAGGAATACCTTTATCAAGGAGTTTCTGAGAAGAAGAGGGTTTTTCAACTTGACAGATGACAGTGGTTTTCTTAGCTGAATTCTGCTCATCTGTATTGGGACCTACAAAAAGAGTAGTAATACAATTTTATTATTCTTTACTTCAAAGCATCCGGTACGGTACAGTTATTTACCAATTATTACTATTTACACATCGTCAACTATAAAAAATAACAAGGAAATTAACTGTCTTAAATCGCGGTCGGCACTGTTTTCTGAAAATGAACTTTTGACGCAACAAAAAACAACAAAATGCCCTGGAACGACTGTAATTTTAAACTCAAATTTGAAAATTTTGCACTTTTTAAGCAAAATTTTGCAGGCCTACAGAACAACTTTTGTCTCATGACAAAGTCCAGTCTATCAGGCTTACAAGTATGGCAAGATTTACGATGATTCTTACTGTTTCTGCAGCCAACACAGACTATTACTGTTGGATTGTTACTACAGTAGGGAACTGAAGTAACCACATTCTCACATTCATTTTAACGGAAGTAAGGACGTCACGAGAAAAGTAAAACTGAGAGATTAAGTTTGCGTTCTTTCAAAGTTATCACGACTTCTTCCAACTCTCTCAATTTGTCAAAATAATGTAGGTGGACTTCTCTGGTGGAGTTGGAAAGTTAGGGATCTCATCCTATGTTCAAAAAGAGAAAAGAAAATTTGTCATTGATAGGTTTTCATCACTGTTGTCATTGTAGCTTACTGAATGACCTTACATAAATTTCCTAAGGCCAACAGTACACAATCGGCCATTTTGGAGTTCCCCCGGGCCCCTGTATCAAAACGAGGTTAAGTGCTCAGCCTTTGATATGGAAATGATTTTTCATTCTGATGCAAATAAAACTCATTTTCACAAGAAAGGTTGCGCACCTAGCCTCATTTTGAAAGTGAGGGTTTTTGGAACTCGGAAGTGGCCTAATCTGGTTTGCACGTGACGTCACAGCGGCCATGTTGGTGGTCAAGAATGAAAGTACTTCTCTCTTAAAAATCTATTTTTATGTAAATTCTTTGAGAAAGAATTATATTGTTTTGACCCCCAACACGGCCGCCTTTTCACGTGGTTGCAAACCAAGAATACAAAGAGCAATTATTTGAATTACATTGTATTATTACACATTGCACACACTATCTGTCTTCTTATTTGCTAAGAGCCTACAGTTCATTTTAGAAATCAGCTCAACCTACAGATCAGTTAGCTACCTGCTAGCAGAATAGTGAGTTCTGTAGGTTATTGCGCGCACAATGCATGATTTAAGGCGATGCTGTGTCTGTCCTTCATTTTCTTCAAAACAAAAGTATAATAAAACAATTATCCAGAAATAATCAAGGTGTTGGTAAGTGTTATCAGCCTTGGCTTTCAGCTCGGCCTTTTCCCGACCTTGATTATTACAGATACCACGAAAACCAGTTTACAATGTAGACACTGATGTTACCTTGAGAAATGGCAAGCATTCGTTCCACAAGTCTATTACAGTGATCCTGCCAGCTGTATATCTTGGCATACTCTCCTTGAAGAAGCTTGGCCTCTCCCAGTCGCGGCTTCCTTTTTTTCTTCCGAACAGCTTTGATTGCATTGGCCCAATCTTTAGGATCTTCTGATTCCACCACACAATGTGAACCAATCGGAACTTCCTGTAAGGCCTCGCCAAGACCAGAGTTCCCACTGACCAGCACAGGCAGACCAGCAGATAAAGCCTCAAGGGCGGCTAGACCAAAGCCCTCAGTTCGGGATGCCACTATAGCAAGATCAACTTCACGAAACAATCGGGCTAACTGCTCTCTGCTTTCATTAAAACAACGTACAGTTAGTTGACTGCGATCAATGCCTTGCTGGAGTAACAAATCTTTTACTTTCTCCTCTTCGCCACTTGGAGCTCCAACAAACAAGAGCTTATAGGTTTGTGGCTCGTCTTTCAACTCAGCAATAGCGCGAGCAGCAATATCATATCCTTTCAGCTGAAAGTCTTCATTGTCACCACGTCCAAACACTAAAACACTAAAAGTTTTTCTCTCTTCAGTGGCTTGCTTTACATCAGAAATTCTGAGAAGATACCTGGGGTAAGATTGAGAACGTCTTGATCCTTTCCACAGGCACGGAGATAACCTGAGAAAGCTTCAGCCAGCTTGGGTCCAACTGCTACGACTTGATCAGCTTTTTCACACAGTTTTACCTCAGCCTCGTGCTTTTTCTCGCCTCTTGAAATGGCATCTGCGTAGGACTTGTACATACCAAGCTCTTCAGGAGCAGTATGAACGACCTGAATCCACTTGCAAGGATGAATTCGTTTCAGAATTTGCACTTGCCGACCAAGAACAGCCCCATGTCCTATCACACAGTCCACAGCACGGTTTTCTGGCAGACAAGACAACCATAGATCGGGTTCTAAACCTGGCATTTCTTCTGCTTCAATGAGAGTAACACTGTGACTTGCAGCAACTCGTTTATCCTCTTCACTACACTGAGGAAGATAAACACTGACCTCCACTCTGGGGTGTTTTGCCAACTGAATGGCCAGCTCTCGGTTGATGGTTGACAAGCCGCCTTTTGTTGATCTCCATTCACTGCTTAACAGAGTAACTCTCAATTTCCTGGAGGAAGTGGATCCTGAATTGCTTTCATGGTCTTCCTGTGACGTAGAGGCTGTGCTAGGAAAGGATGACAAATCCTAAAAGAAGAGAAACATTAATTTACTAAAGGGTTTACTTAAACAACGTGTTACTAAATTCATACAAACTGTAATTACACAATGTAAATTTCAAAACTCAATGATTGTTTTTCATGTAAATAATGGGGTACTTTGCTAAGAGTGTCTTGACAACACCTTTCTGCATCTGCTTAGACTGAGCTGGTACCACACTGATAGGTGAGGACTGTACATGCATCAACTACCCACTTAGAATTCTTTTGTCCAGGAGGGTCAGCAAGCTTAGTGGTTCATTTTCAACATTCCAAAAGATGTACCTAAAACAAGCTAAAGGGCCTGCAAAGCAATGGTGAAGCATGAAGCACCATGGAGTGAATATTACAACTTCACCCCCACCATCTCTCCCCTTAATGGATTGGATGGTAGTCTACTCCCCTGGACAAGAAAGGTATTTAAAACAAGCCAAAGGGGCTGCACAACAAGAAGCTTATCTTAATTGGAGAGATGTGAAGCATCAAGAAAGGAATATTACAACTCCACCCCCTCCCCCTCCCCCCAACTAGATTGGATGGTAGTCCACCCACATGGATGGGAGAGGTCCTTAAAACAAGCCAAAGGGTCTGCACAGTTAGAAAGTACCTTGATTGGAGATGCATGAAGCACCAAGGAGTATCAGAACTCACCCCCTCCCCCCTCCCCCCTCCCCCATGGAATGGGATGCTAGTCCACCACTAGGGTTAGGTAAATTATGCCAGCATAATTTTGGGCATAATTCTATAGTCGGAGAATCAAGTAATGCCGGCACAATTGCCATTTTTTTCAGCATAAAGAGAATTATAATGAAAACAATCATAATATTTCCAAACTGTATTGAGAAATTGTTACTTCCAAGTGCTTTTAGCAAGGATTAACATATTCAAAGGCTTGATTGTTACTTTCAGTGTCTTGTTGCACAGTTGTATAATTTTGTTAGGTTGCTAAGACTGGCCAATTATCTATCCATCATGGCTGCCAGTTTGAAGTTTGTAACTGATACAATAAAAATTAATGTTGCATACATGTCTGCCAAGATCAGTCAAGGATAATGCTACTTTTTGAATATAATTTTAGGCAGAATGCTGTTGTTTTAAGGCTAAAGCTCAAAAGCATAATGCTAAAATGCACAGCATTGCCTCCAGCAGTACAGCTGTATGTTGCAATCAAACACAAAATAAATGACCTGGGTGAAGACTGTACATAATGTGATAAATATTTTCTTGCCTAAGAAAATCAGGTGATGGAACAGATAGCCTGGGCTATAATCAGATCTTGACTGATCCAGAGTCTGACATGATCTGATCATTAACTCTTCATCAACAAATTCAGAACCACAACTCAAACTTCTCATTAACCTCAAACCTTTCAGCTAGCTCTTAGAGTGAAGATACAATAATTATTACATCAAGAACAACCAACCTTAACTGAACTATTATAAATGTAACTAACAGATGATCAATTTTTCTTTTACCTCCATTAGCCTGGACATCACAGGAATCCTAAAAATCTTTTAACCTTGGCATGAACACTACAATACAAACAACATTTGACATGTTATTGTTGTGAGAGTTTAATTTTGTCAGCAGCAATTTTTTTGTAATATTATTTTGCAGGAACAAACTTTTAGGATTGGTTCGGACTTGTTTTTCTCCATATGATTCGGTGTACAACTTCTTGTAACAAAGAAACTCTAAACCAAACATTACTAGGTTGAAAACTGGTAAAACCTTCGTCCTGAGAACAATTTTTTACCTAAGTCACTAAAGCGGAGGCCGTTTTTACAGTAATGTGTTTGTTGGGGGAGTGGGGGGGGGGGGGGGTGGGAGGGGGGGAGGGTCATGTTTACCTTTTATAGCTGTGGATTTTGAAAGAAACCACAAAAACTGAAAAACCCAAAATAAAAAGCCACAATGTAAGAGATAGATGAAGTAGTGGTACATGTTGACGGCGTTTTCTAAATTTGCTTTACAACTAAACGATCTCATTCCTTTTAAAGGTGTATTTTTCAGAATATTAACTGCTTTTCATCCCAAATTTATTTAGCATTAATGCTTTTTTTGAATGAGTATTTATCCCATGGGTATACTGACACAAGGAGGGGAGTCCTGGACTCCACTGTCTCGGATGGCATCCAGAGCGTATTTTCAAGTGGGGTGACTTGAAAATGAGTGACAAAGGCACAAGGTTTGTAGGGGGGGTCTGGGGCATGCTCCCCCACAAAAATTTTGAAATCTAGAGGCTCAGAAATGGCATTTTCAACGTTCTCCATGAGATATTTCTTTGTTTAAAAATGACAGGTTCTTCTAGTGCTTACAGTTATATCATGGGGGTTTTGTAAACTTGATCAATAGTCATATTTCTCCACCTTCAATATATCCCACCGTTAGAACACTAGCCCGCATTTTTACATAAGTTCTGAGTGTGGTAGGGAAGCACACGCTAGCAAAATGTTAAAAACACATAACTTCATCTGTGGTAATGTGTGGTAATTTAACCAGACCTTTTTCCTTTTCTTTCCCTCTTATTTACTCTTCATACGTGCCTCATACTAAAACAAAAAAATCCTCTAGAAAAGTGGGGAGGCTAAAATCCCATGGGGTATTCCCCTACAAAAGCAACGGGGGTGCTCATCGTATCTTTTAGGGGTTTAAATTTGTGGATTGGAACCATTTAGGGTGCTAAAACCTAATTAAGTAACTGCTGCCAGATAAAGATTAATGACAATATTTACTTTCAAAAAGTCCTTGACAGCTAGGAAAGTGTTCGAAAGTTATCTTTATATACATGTACTATTAAAATTTGCAGTGACAGTAATATGAGTTGTTGTTGCTGGATTGGTACCTCTTAGGGGTGGAAATGAATTTTGGACATGTTGCATTTAATTTTTTTTTTCAGTTAATTTTTGTTTTTCCTTTGTTTGAAATTCATTAGCATACATTGTCATAACCAAAAAGAATAGAAAAATAAAAATTAACCGAGTCAAAAAATTATCTGCAACAGACATGCCCATAAAACAAGATTCTGGTACCCTATAAGGGGTGCTCTCGAAATTTTCTGACGAGCACTCCCGTCACTTTTATAGGGGAGTACCACCCCCCAACCCCACCCTCTACCCTTTTTATGCCTGCCATTCAGATTACACTCTGTTACACTTCCAGACTTCAGTGTAAACAATTGTTCATCGAAACTGACGGATCTTGGAAAAAGAACCCAGTCTCCAACCTTGGTATTTCGAATAAAACTCATGCGATAATATCATGAAACCTCTATCATTGATGCCCTAATCTACGTTCACAAGACTGAAACCACATCCACTCCCTCGAGTGGCTATTTTTTAAACTTGAGCTTTAAACAGGATGTGATCATCTGGTGATCTACAGTCTACAAGTGCGATACCAAATTTTTTTAAAAAAATCTAACCCACGATTTCAGTTTTAGGAAATGAAATGAGGTTCCTTTTTTTAAACAGGGTGGCAAAGAGAAGATTTTTTGATTTAAAAAGGATGGCAGTGCACCCCTTTCCAAACTTCCATTTAGGGTTCCTCCCCTCCCCCACCAGCCACTGCAACAGGGAATTTATTTTAATATATAAGCATTCTCTAAGCAGTAATAAAATTCTGATTATGACAAAATTATCAGATAATTCAAAATGACTTACCAAAGCTTGCAATTGGTACATGGATCAGTGACTTCTGGAACCCACACATCATGAAATTTGAATTGATTGGTAGCAGTAACCTACATGTATATAATAAAATTGAGGCCCATAAGTGTCAAGACAAAGAGCAGTTTTCCCTTAGTTACATATTACTATTGCTTTAGTGCCAGAGCTGCTGTTGCACTGCCTGGCTGATGGTACAGTCATTCACCAAACAATAACCCACGCTCCCCCCGCCCCCCCCAGGCCCAGCAAAGACGTACAACAACAACAACATTTATTATTTATAGTGCGCCCTTCTATAGAAATAATAAAAAGTGCATTACCTTTTTTCCCTTTTTTGTTTTGTTTTGTTTGCTTATTTGTGCTGTTGTTTTCTATAAATATTTACCTAAATATCTGTTATTTAATAAAGTGCATTAATAAACAGCAAGCAAAGTATCGTGTTTCCAGAGAAAAGATAGTACACCGTATATTAAATATATGGATAAACAATCTGAATTTCTATCATTTGCTACAATTTACATACTGTGAGAAATCAGAGTTGATAACCACTTGATCTTTTTCTAAACAAGGTTCGAATGAGTTCTTTCTATGGACCGATAGTAATTATTACTTTCCAACATGACATTCCACGTCAGTATCAACAAAATGTGCTGCATCATTACTATCGTTTAGATACCCTAGTCGATAATGTGAAGCAGGCATCATAGAAATTAATTTTTTGAGATAGCTCGGCACTAAACCCTGAAGTTTCTTAAAGTGTAATAAGAAGAATCTTAAAATTTATAGACGCTTAAACTGGTAACCAGTGAAGTTCTCTACGTAGAGGGGTAATATATGAGAATACTTAACTGTATGGTAAACTAAACGTGTGCTTCACATCTAATCCATTATGGATCTACGTTCCTTCAAGATGAGTTCACTTACAAGCCCTTCTAAAGAAAGAAAGAAAGAAGAAAGTCATAAAGAATTGCTCTACTAGCTGGGAATCCGAGTGGAAAAATACTATATTTGTGTATTTTGATCCCTCAGTCTGAAGATATCAAGATACAGGTGTATGTCACTCACAAACTTTTTTTCGGTTCTGTGATTTTAAGTACACGTTAAAGACACGGTACCGGAAACACTCGTTACCGTGAAATCCTAGGGCTTGCACTTAGCGCATGTGTCTGTGATGAAATGCCATTTTCTTTACTTCACACCACCAGCAGATTCAGTTACACTGAAATGATCACACCCAGCATTTTTTAGTACCATTTCTAGGGCTGATTGGCCAATTTATGAGGTGGCTGCATCAGAAAGTGACACATTTTTCATGGCTAGT